GTTGGAAAAGGCACAGGCAGAAGTAAAAGCACACGGTCACGAAGCGCTCGGAGGCCGTTACCTTTACATTATCCAGAGCACGCACAAGGTCTTTCCTAAGCTCAAGATGTTTGCAGCGCAAACATCGCCGGAGAATGACGATGAGCAGCCGCTCCACAAGGACCTGGTCAATGTGTGTTTGGCTTATTCCATGTATCGGCCGGATATCCCACATTCGAGCTTCGATATTCATCACATTGCCGCATTGCTCCTGCTTAACCTCTCAGCTCCGCAAGCCTTTATCGCACTGTCCAACTTGCTTAATCGCCCATTGCCTCTATCGTTCCTCGTCCACGACCAAAATGCCATCCACGCCGCATACACGACCACTCTCCACGTGCTATCGAAGAAAGCACCAAGCCTCGCCCAACGATTGGAAACATTACGTGTCGAGCCCCGAGATTACCTCTTCCACGCCCTTGGCTCATTGTTCTGTGGACGCCTGGAAGTCGAGCACGCCGCACGCATCATGGACATTTACACAATCGAAGGCGACAAGAATCTCCCGCGAGCCGCCGTAGCTATCCTGTGCATACTAGAAGGTAGCTGCATGGAGGGTGATGCCGCGCAGGTAGCGCGTACCCTCAAGGCCAAGAAGATTGAGCTCGACGAAGACGAGTTCATGGCTCGCGTGTACGAAGCGGGCAAGACGTCGTAGTAGAGTGTCTCATAGTAGTACATTTTACTGTTTTTTTCCGGCTGCACATACACACAGATGCTCCATACATAACACTCACTCACAAAGAAAGAGAGGGAGGGGAGCGCAGTTCCAAGTATTAATACTTTGTTAGTTTTCATATAGTGTGCTGTTACTGGGAGGTTAATCGGCGCTTCTTATTTTGGATAATACGAGACCGCTCTGGAGGAAGAAGAAGAAGAAGGAAGAAGGAAGATGGAGAAAGAGAAAGGGAAAGCGACAAGGAGAGAGAGCAAGAGAAGAAAAAAAAGAGGCAGAAAAGACGATGATATACGAACTTTAACGCAGCGCGAAACACTTTGAAAGTTTGTTTGAAAGCTCGACACAGCATTTAACACCACCCACCCACCCCTTTCATTTCTCTCGTATCATCTAAATCACCCCCTCTTATTTTCTACATTTCTTTTGTTGTTTTACTTTGCATAGACGGCGGTTTTTTTGATTTCGTTTGTCCTTCTTTGCTTTTTTCCTTGCACCATCATCATTATCACCAATCTCAAGAAGAAGATAATGGGAGATGATGGGCAAAAAACTAACTACCATGTTCACAAATACTTTGTATATATTATTGTTTTTTTTTTGGTTTAAATCGAGAATCACACAAACAGACACATAAGTGCTTTAGAGCTATAGGAGTGTAGTTGAGCTGGACAACCTGCGCGCTTATTTTTTGTATAGAAAGGAAGAAGGGAGGAAAATGAAGGATGTAGAAGTAGCTAGTATCAGAATCTGAAATCACTATTACTATAACTATATATAACGTGGTTCACAAGCGAGCGCGCCACCCAAGCGAGCGCGCCGCTTTGCACCAGCGCGTCAGCGTCGAGACGTTATCACGCACTTTTATCACAGTTAATAAGTTATTGCGATATACTAAATTAATTGTCAGAATCGCTACTACTACTTGCACTATCTATCTCAACTACGCAGGTGCGAGCGTTATGTCCAGTCTGCTTACAACGCCCGCACCGCCTCTCTCCTCGCACTCTCTTCAACGTACTCTCACCATCGCCACGACTACTACCCGCTTATTCAGCTAATACTTCTTGTACCTCGCCTATATTTAGAGTCTCTTCTGTCCGTATGTATCGCCGTTTACGGCTCTTACGCTTATTTAATTTGTTAAGAGCCTCTTAAAGAGTCGTTATTTTCTCTGTTAAAAGCACCATCTTATGTGCCATTTGCTAAGCCCCCTTACTTAACTACGCGGTCTGCTCAGTAAGTAAGTTGGCAGATGACCTACGGCGCTTTCTCACGCTCTATTAAATAAGACTGATTTGAGCCTCGACTTCGCGCGCGTTGCGTGGTGTCTGCGCCTCCCAGGCGGCCGCCCGTNGNNGTGATTGTNNTGGTGTCTGCACCACTACATCAAGCTTNGATAGCACAGCCTGTGGGTNATGTGGGACTAGACCAGCGCCTCTNAAGCCNGCNTGGATATTCTCCNNTGTNATAGACTGCTCAAAAGCAGNCNTAAAGGCTGGTAGAAAGGTCTCCTTGCTAATATAGCTGATGCGGTTGCGTGCCAAGCCTGAGNTCACATCGCNATACTTGCGCTTCAANGGCNNNAANCAGGCNACNTCAAGAGGCTGCAATAGGTGAGACGAGTGTGGAGGCATGCAGAGAAGAATAATATTCTTCTCCTTACAAAGATCTTGAAAATCAATAGAGTAGTGGCTCTCATGGCCGTCAATAATGAGCAGTCGATACCCACCCACAGTGAAGCTCTTTGTATGGGTATCAAAGTGCTCTAACCATGCAAGAGCAAGCTGATTATTCGTCCAGCCATTAGGGCTGACTTCAAGTACCCAGTCGGCAGGTAGGTTCTTAAACCAGACGTCGATAAGCACCTTGCCCGCAAAGACGACGAAGGGTGGTAGCTGGCGACCCGACGCGCCCACGCCTTGGATCACAGTGACCCACTCCCGGTTGCCTAGCTGTATCCGCTTCTTTTTGCCATATCCTTCTGAGCCTGTGATAACTAACTGTGATAAAATCTTGCCCATCATGAAGCCAGTCTCGTCAAAGTTGTAGATATCATCGTCTACAACCCCCCACTTCTGCTTTGTCGCCTGGACTAAGTCGAACCAGCGCTGGATAGCTGCTGGGTCCTCGCAGGTAGCTCGCTGGTGATCATAGGGACGGCTCCAGCGCGTACGGAGCTCAGGGGTTCGCTTAATAAAGTTATCAACCCAGTTCTTGCCAGTAGGGTTGCTCTCCCGCTCATGTAATAGTTTATCAGCTATTGCTCAAACGTCAAGCTTTGTAGGCGTAAATCCTCGCGCAGACTCTTTAAGAATACGCTGAACTATAGCCTCCTCTTCTAGCTTATTTAGGCGCTTCGAGTTCGCTTCATAGTCGCGCCGAAAGCGTATCCCAGCGTCTCTACGCTGGAGTGTTCTTCGTGGGACGTTGTAGATCGCTGCAGCACGTCTTTGGCTTTTAACACGGTGGGGATTAAAATCAAAAAGAGTAAGTTGAATATCTGATTCAGTATAGAAAGTTTGAGTAGTACGTTGTTGAGACATTACGTGGTAACGTCTCGACGTTGACGCGCTGGTGCAAAGCGGCGCGCTCGCTTGGGTGGCGCGCTCGCTTGTGAACCACGTTACTAACTATTGCTTCTTTTTTTTCTTCTTGTCACTGTGACGTCCCTTTACGTCTCCATTTTTTTTTAACTTTTTCTTCCCTTTCCCTGCATATACACCTCTCATCCCGAATTTCCAATAGTAGTCACATAAACATCATTTGGTAAACCCCTCCTCCACCTTACTATACATCACAACCTACAGCAATATCTGCGCGGGAGTGGTAGGTAAACTACGAAAACCCTTCTTAGCGGATAATCCAAAACTCCCATGTATGTATGTATGTGTCGTTCAAAGAAGAGTTGTATCTGGTGGCGTTAAGCCACCGTCTTGACTCGGTCTTATGGCGCAGAAAAACGTTGAGATTAAACGGGGGGTTTTTTTGGTCTTGGCCCTTTGTGAGCGGGAGAGGCGCCTTATGATGAGGGGAGGCGTTTTTTTTTGTGGAAATTGGCTATCAGTGCGGTACGGGATTGTGTTTGGGTGGGAATACGAGAGGGTGGCTTGATTAGATGTGTTTGAGGTACGGTGGGGGAGTTGTTTGATTGCTGCATGGGTTTATGGGGTAGGGTATGGTGGGTTGGTGGGAGTTTCGTGGGTTATGTGTAAGTAGGGAGGAGTATGGGGGTATGTTTGGTGATGGACGGTAGTCTTCAGATTTGGCTTTGCTTTTTGGTGTTACGATCGCGTTTTTGTCAATGCCGATTTAGACTACTTATGTCATACAAGCTGCCTTGTAGAGTACATTTCAGTCTTGCGACACTCATTGAAGAGTGTCTCCTTGCGTCGCACGAGCATGTTCGGCCGATTGATGGATCTCGCGTTGTGTTGCGTCCAAAAGGGGATGACAAGACTTGGACGAGCCCCCTAAACCCAAGATGACCCACTCAAATTTTGGATGGTCTAGGGGTAAGGAGAGAGCAAGGCATACCTCATGGGCTTGATATGATTGCCCAAGGTATGCACAGCGGAGCTCGGGTGTGAGTTTGTCGGGGTGGCATTGGGCGTCGTAGAAGCTTATGCAACAACATATGTTCCGATGCCAGGCCGGTCTTTGGCAGCACTTGTGCCAATAAGTAGACGTGATGCTTTCAGCATAAAAACGTATACATTGCCTCGAGAACATCGAAACAAGTCGTATAGCATGGAACGCCATCGCCCCATGGCAAACACGTCAATCAATCACGTGCACGTCGTCACATCAAAATGTACGACCGATCATTGCGCTCTCTCCCACTGCAAAAGCAGGGAGAAACCGCACCCAAGATCAGCCACTGTATTCCTCTCCACTTCACAGACGGTTTTCGTTCTCATGGAAACCTCACACCGTCCGTAGACGACGGGTCTCTCCAATGAAAATGCTTTTCGTGAGTGTGCAAATTTTTTGCGTTGTTCAATGGAGAAGAGAAGCCGGGGACGGGCGCAGCTGAAGTTTTGTGTCCGACGCCCCGGCACAACCTTTCCCCGATGCTAGACGCTTGGCACTGCCCCGCCACCACCACTCGAGGCTGTACTAGGTTTGAGTCACTTTGTGTGGGATTTGAAGTCGAAAGTTGGCCGCCGCCCGTCTCCACTGCAACCATCTGACCAACATCTTGACGCCCTCGCATCCGGCCGCTTAGATAGTCCTGTCCCTTCCCCGCCAAGAAGCAAAAAAGAAAACACACAGATTGCCCATTATGGAGTCCGAATCTGACAACGATTTCCGCGATGACAAGAGCGTATCTGAGCACGAGGAGGTTGAGGAGACAAAGCCAAAGTCTGCGCTCAAGAAGGGCCGGGAGCCAGCTCCCGTTGTAGAGCGTCCAGAATTGCCGTAGGTTTGCCAAAACATGCAGCCCATATATCAGCATCACGGCTAATGCGCACAAGCGAGCAACCAGACCCAAGCACCCTCGACGTCTCAACGCTGAGCCCGCTGTCACCCGAAATCATTTCCCGACAGGCTACCATCAACATTGGAACAATTGGTCACGTCGCTCACGGAAAGAGTACAGTAGTAAAGGCCATTTCTGGTGTGCAGACGGTCCGCTTCAAGAACGAACTCGAGAGGAATATCACCATCAAGCTCGGTTACGCAAACGCGAAGATCTACCAGTGCGACAACTCCGAGTGCCCGCGCCCCACATGCTACCGATCATACAAGAGTGAGAAGGAGGTCGACCCGCCTTGCGAACGTGAAGGATGCGGAGGACGATACCGATTGAAGCGCCACGTCTCGTTCGTCGATTGCCCCGGTCACGACATTCTCATGAGCACGATGTTGTCTGGCGCCGCCGTCATGGATGCCGCACTGCTGTTGATTGCCGGAAACGAATCTTGTCCGCAACCGCAGACAAGTGAGCATCTTGCTGCCATTGAGATTATGAAGCTCAACCATATCATCATCCTTCAGAACAAGGTCGATCTCATGCGGGAGGACAGCGCTGCCGCCCACTATGAGTCCATTCTGAAGTTTATTCGAGGAACAGTTGCCGATGGCTCCCCCATTGTTCCCATTTCGGCGCAATTGAAGTTCAACATTGATGCCATCAACGAGCAACTCATCAGCAAGATCCCAGTCCCAGTCCGAGACTTCTCCGCAAAGCCACACATGATTGTCATTCGATCATTCGACGTCAACAAGCCTGGTGCTGAGATTGACGAGCTGAAGGGTGGTGTTGCTGGTGGCAGTATCCTGACTGGTGTGCTGAAGCTTGGTGACGAGATTGAGATTAGGCCTGGTATTGTGTCCAAGGACAGCGCCGGAAAGATTCAGTGCAAGCCCATCTTCTCAAGAGTCGTGTCCTTGTTCGCTGAGCACAATGACCTGAAGTTCGCTGTTCCTGGTGGTTTGATTGGTATGTACCCCCGTGTTGCCGCAGTGCTGATCATTGGACTAACACATGTCAGGTGTCGGTACACGTGTAGACCCTACTCTGTGTCGTGCGGATCGTCTTGTCGGTTTCGTCCTTGGTCTCCGTGGCCACCTTCCCAACATCTACACGGAGCTTGAAGTCAACTACTTCCTCCTCCGAAGGTTGCTCGGTGTAAAGACCGCAGACGGCAAGCAGGCCAAGGTCGCCAAGCTTGCAAAGAATGAAGTTCTCGTAAGTACAAAGCACGTGTTCAAACAGATTAAAAGGCTCATATCTTCCACAGATGGTTAACATTGGTTCAACCGCTACGGGTGCCAAGGTTGTCGCAGTCAAGGCTGACGCTGCACGTCTTTCCCTGACCTCTCCTGCATGCACAGAGATTGGCGAAAAGGTGGCTTTGTCCAGGCGTATCGAGAAGCACTGGCGTCTCATTGGATGGGCCAATATCGTGGCGTAAGTTTGACTGCATTCCCAACGACATATGCATGCTGACGATCTTGCAGTGGTAACATCCTTCAACCCATCGTCGATTGAGAGGGGAAGCGTGGCGGGGTAGCTCCTGGGGAGCTCACATTACACATTTGACGATGGGACGACGTGGACACGAACGATACGACGGCCACAATAACATGTGCATCATAGTTCTGAGCATTTATGTCTGGAGTCGGTTGCACTTGGGGATAGACACCAAAAAGCGTTTTCGTTTGCAGCTATGCCTTGGGCAGCGTCGGACAGGCAGGGGGGGTAGATGTAGCATCCCTAATACGGAAGATCTAGTGTATCAGTACAAAATGTCCAACAGAATTGGCCGAACATAATGAAACATGCCCGATCCACTAGAATTGTTGAGAAAGCGGATGACAGCGGAGCAATAAGCGGAACCGTGTGCGTGGGCCGATCTTCACATGATAGCACTCCGGTGACACATGTGAGGGCAAGGCCTAGCGGCGCCTACATCACCACCTCGTCGCCCACTATCCTACATCAGTCACTTGCTCGCCTAAGTCATCAGTTGAGTTGCCTATACGCGGTAAGTTTGCGAGGCTGCAATGACCGTGCTGACACGAGTCTAAGCGGGTGCTCCAGGTCAGGTTCACGTGCACTGACACGACTTTAGGTTCTATTGACATCCCAGCCAGAACACAGCGACAGTCGCATCACGCCAGCACTTAACCAGTGCTGTATATTTTACTTTTTATTCTTCTTTCTTGTGCTCGCTTTCCCATATCATCATTTGCTTTTTTTGGTCGCAATCAAGCCTATAATCGGCAAGCGTACACATTTAACCCAGAATCTTTGCGGGACCCTGATCGGTTCGGCACTGAGCCGCAACGGCAATGGGAGGAGACCCTTCGAATGTGCATGCGGCACAACCTCCGTTACATATCCACCGCCCTATCCCGCGGCGAACCTTTGAGCGTAGCGATTCCGCAGATTCACCCACGCACGACTTTACGCAATCCACGCCCCCGAGCGCAACAGAGAACCGTCGAGCGAATGACTTTGTCGCACAATTGAACGCGCGCCTACTTCGAACATACTACAATTCTCGCAACGATGACTCGGATGAGCAGGAGCGCGGCCCGCCCCCGCGGAATCAGAGTCTCCTGAACCTCACAAGCAGCACGCTGTCTGGCATCTATGATGAGTCGGGAGATCAGAGCTCGGCAGAGACGCCTTGGGGGACAGGCGCAGAGACACCAAAACACACATTTGCAGGCTCTCAGGCCAGGGCAACCGGCATGGGCAGCCCCGATGGAGGAGTGAGCCTGTACAACCGCGCCAGGAAGGGGTCAGCCATGTATCCGCCTGACGCGAGGAAAAGGAGTCATTCGATCAAGCAGCCACGGCAGGGCACATGGAAGTACCTTGTCATCGCGGGAAAACTCGCTGCACTATATGTCTTTGGCGTCATGTACGGCGTCATCGTCTCGCATATTCACGAGACGAAGCAGTTGGCTGCCATACACGTTGACGGGGTTGATCAAAAGGGGCACGCCTACTTGGCGACCTGGGGACTGTTTGGCGTCGCGCTGGGCAGTCTACTCCCATATGTTGATCTCCTATGGAACGCACAGAGTAGCGAGAGCGAGATCCAACCAGGAGGCAAGGAAGCCGAGGAGCACGACCCTCCCATCAGCGAGCAAGTCAACGACGTTGTAAGAAGCGTCGCGGCTTTCATCGGCATCGCATTCGCCATTGTAAGTATTCTACATCCTAAAATCTGTTTTTCGGGACCCCTCCCTTTCCCCTTTTCAAAAGGCTAACACAAACTTTACCAGCGCCGCCTCCCGTGGCAATCCACCCTCCAACTTACCCTCACGCTCGCTCTCGTAAACCCCGCCCTGTGGTACATACTCGACCGCTCGAAACCAGGACTCTCCGTCTCGCTGACCGTGACATCCATCCTCACCTCGCTCATTTTCCTCTCCAACCCCGATGTCCTGCCTTCTCCGTTTCTACCGGCATCCATGAACGCCACGCACCTGCCATCCACGACAAGGAATCCACAAGTAAAAGGAGGATTGAACACTGGAGCCCCCATGGCACAGACACTGTTCCTTGGCATGATTAGCTACGAGGAACTGGCTGTAGTGACATGGGTTGGTAGCGTATTGTTCTGCAGCTGTGTCTGCTTTGGAAGTATAGGCAGGAGACTAGCTGTTCTTGACGAAAGTCCACGAAAGAGATGATACAGTTTTGTTTCAGGTACTTTGTACAAGGAAGAATGTAGAGGAAGAGAAGAAAAAGACAAAGACGATAACGATTATAAGAGTAAAAGTCTTGTTTAGCAATTGCACTGCAAGTAGCTTATCACGCATTATTCTCCTCTCCAGGCACGTCTATTGGAAGGGGGCGTTTATACGGAATATAGAATAAACACATCGGTCCTACGTAGGCCGTTTGGAAAGCATATCATTTCGTCTTTTGAAATAAGTGACTTTGTATCAAGAATGTTTCAATCTAGCATTTCTTCATCCTTTTTTTAAAAAAAACAAAGTGGATATCCACAAACCTTGACAAGACAGAAAAGAACCAATATCGAAAGAAGAAGAAAAACAAATTTCTTATTGAAACAATACCAGTCTCAAGCCCCCTCCAAACCCCCCAAGCCAAAAAGAGTAGAAGAAAAGGAGATGAGAAGAGAAAAAAAGAAATGTCGCAAACTTGGCGGTACTGGGAACTACAGACATATTGTTAGATAAAACAATGTCTCAGTAAATGGACCAAGAGGAAGAACAACGTACTCGAACCCAGGCTGGCGCGGATCTGGATCAGGACAACTTAAGAGTGTCCGCCAGCCACAACGCGACGTCATACCACTAGCTAATAAGAGGTATTAGTTTTCATTGCGTTGGGTGTGGATGGGATGGAAACGTACACCATACCACCGTTGGGTACTCTGAGCTCTGAGCTCTGATTGGCTGGTTGATGGTGGGTTTGGGATTTGATTGTGATATGACGATGTGGAAAAAGCGAGGTGGGGAACGTTTCTTTTTTTTGGAAGTGGTGGGATTGGTTTTTTGGTCATAGAAATGTGGTTCTTTTTTTTTGGCCGTCCGAATTGGGTTGGGGTTGCATCGTGGGGCAAGGCAGTTCGCCGATATCTCAGTGTGGAGAACGTTGGACGAGTGGGTCGTAGGATTTGGAACCATGTGAGGTAAAGGTCAACACCATACAATAGGCCAGGGTTAGAGTAGGACACTGTGTCAACTGTATCCTGCCGCTATCGTGACGTAGCAAAGGACGTTCGAATGTCCAGAGTATCACACACATTACACACACACACACACACACACAATATCTCTTGGTTATCAGTATATTATTAGTCTATAGAGACTTTGTAACATCGAAAGCTTTCATTTCACCAGACGTAGCTTTTCAATATAGTCATTCCAAGATCTTCACCAGACCAGCATCTTTTACTAGCCATCTTCTCCGCCTCATGATTGCATCTTTTCGTGTCAGACGCTTGCCCCACTTCCATACTCAATCAAGAGCATGGAGTAGAGTGTATTAAAACAACAAGGCTAGAGTAAAACCCGTTTACTGTGCCTTAGAAAGCTTCGCCCTGCTAGCAGCCAGGGCACCAGAAAGACTGAACTGAGTCTTGATACCGTCAATACGGTGGACAGCGTTGAGGTTCTTGACACAGGTGATTTGAAAGCAGGTGGCACTACCCTGGCGGGAAGTGATGGTGGAGTAGGCGAGGAAGTACTCCCAGATCTAGGCAACTATTAGCTTCTAGAAGATGTTTTGGAGCATGAGAGAAATTACCTTGAACCAACGTATGCCATACTTGGCAACAACCTTGTCCTTGTTGGCGAGCCAGTTACGGTACCACCTCCAGAGAGTAGCAGAGTAGTGCACACCAATGGTGTCTACCATCTTGACTTCAAAACCAGCAGCCTCGAGGGTGTCGACGACAAAACCAAGAGGAGTAGACGCGTCGGCACCAGGGAAGACGTACTTGTTCATGAAAAGACCCCAGGTGAAGTCCTCGAATTGCCATGCTTTACGCAGACCAGCGATCTGAAGGAAGAAGACACCATCGTCGTCAAGCATATCGTAGACCTGACGGAAGAAAGCACTCAAGTGACGGACACCAACGTGCTCAGCCATCTCAAGACAAGTGATCTTGTTGTAGCCACCAGAAGGAACGGGAATTTCACGGTAGTCCATGCAGAGAATGTTGGACTGCTCAGCCTCGATACCAGCTTTCCTAAGACCGTTGTTGCCCCAAGCAGTCTGGTTGCGACCAAGAGTAATACCAGTGACCTTTGCGCCATAGTTGACAGAGGCGAATCGTGTAAGTGTGCCCCATCCACAACCAATGTCGAGCATCTTCTCGCCAGGCTGCAGGTCGATCTTTTCACAGACGACAGCCATCTTGTTGTCCTGTAGTTGCTCCAAGCTCTCTTCCGTGTTGATATCAGAGATGATACCAGAGGTGTAAATCATGCGAGGACCGAGGAACCAGCCGTAGAAATCGTCACCGCGGTCATAGTGGTCGCGGACCTGTTCTTCGTCTAGTGCGGGGTCAGCATATGCAGAAACTAGGGATATAGAGTGTCCTTACCCTGAGACTTGGAGTGGACAATCATTTCTGGGATCATGCCGAAGAGGAAGTGCTTGATCAGTCCAAGGGTGAAGCGGGGCTTGGACCAGTCATGGCGCCATTCGAGGATCTCGAGCATATCGCCATTGAGCTCAATTTCACCGTCAAAGTACTTTTCCTGGAACGTCTCGATAGGGATCTGTTTCTTGCCGTAGTAGGCGTCGCGGTCCTCGGCCTTGTTGAACTTGAGGTAGTGCTCGATGGGCTTGCCGGGAAGTTTGGCCTTTTCGTTCTTGCGGGGAGCGAATTCAGACGTGAGCCACCAGAAAGGACCTAGAATGGGAAGACACAGGACAAGGGCGAGGAAAAGCCATGTCTTGAAGCCCATGCCCCAGCTCCATGTGATGTATGCGGGGACGCCGACGAGCAGCGAGATGAGGACATAGTTGTTGAACGATTCGCGACCGGAGCCTTCTGCGGGGCATGGGGCATTTGCAATGGTCGGGTACTATTGATTGGCAAGCGTCAGCCTGGTAGCTCATCACATCGTCGTTCAATGGCTGGCGGGGTTGTCGTCTGGAGGGTGGTGGGAGACTTACCGAAGTTGTCTTCACGCCACAGTCGAACGGGGGCGTAGTGGGCGAGGGCGCCGGGGGCGTCTCAACCCACTCAAAGTTGTCCTCGGAAGTATTGCTCATCTTGCGCGATGCTCAGCAATTTTGCAAGATTCAAAGCAGACGTGTTGGGAACTGGACCCTTTTAACGGCGGTGAAACCTACACTAGGTGGTTTTAAGCGAGTCGGCGCTGGGGTTACGAGTTCCCCTGCAGGCCATGGAGACGACAGCTCCACACATTCGACAGCACACCGACAGCACTATGCACTCACACCGGTACATTATATCCTTCACTAGGCCCATAAAGTGTTCCCATAAGGGGTGTGCACTGCAGTGCATGAGGCAACAGGTGGCCGAGTTGCTCTCGAACAGGTGCATGTGCTCGCACTAATACCATGTGTCTAACAGATAAGAGCATACGCCAGACCCCGCCAAGCCCATTGGTGGAGAGCGGAGAGCGCTCAGGACACCTCTACCAATAGCTTCTTCTTGACAAAGTCCATCTGCTCCTTGCTCACGCCGGCTTTCTCCAGGTACTGCTCGACACTGCCATATCTCTCCAATATATGAGCATTCACTTTCGGTACCAAGTCTGGGGGACATAGGGCAAATTGTCTGGACAAGCCAATGGACCTTATCTCCCGCAATCGCTCCTCCATCTCAGATGCCAGCTCTGACTCGGACAGCTGGTAGTCTTTGTCGACAGTGCCCAAGTCGGTTTTCAAGAGCAGAAGAATGAGCATCACCACAAGGCCCGTTCGGTCCTTTCCCTGATGCGGATCAGTAATGTGTTGCAATGACGAGAGAATCAGCAGATACCTGAGTACAATGCACTAGCAGTGGCCAGCTCTCGTCCTTGGCAAGTACATTGAAAACTTGTGCGACTTCGTGTGTGCAAACGTCCAAGGATTGCGTAGCTAGGCCAACAAGCCCCATTTCCTCCATATGAGGAGCGAGGATTTTGATGGCATCTGTGCGATAGCCAAAGGCCATGAGTCCAATCAGCCTAAAGAACTCCATCCAGGTCAACTTGGAAACAAGCATGCGTGAAAAGGCCGAGCCATTGAAGTTGATTTGGTGATAGGTGATGCCGGGTATCTCGAGTGGTTCTGTCACCTCGGTGTTGCTCTGGGGTACGGCAGCCGACGCTTTGATCCTCGCCCCATGCTTCTGCGCCTGTTCAATGTGCTCCGTTTTTGTACGCAGGTCAATGATTGATTTGACATTGAATTCCTTGACAAGTCTTTGCCTATCCTGGTAAGAAGCCTCGTCTATCCCAGTCAGCTACATATCAGACACAGTACACGCAAAACATACATACCAGGTCGCGCGCTTCGAAACAGCAAGCCGGTTTTGAGGTTACTATGATTGTGATCAGCTGTGTTGCAATGCCAGCAGGGTGTCCGTGGCGTGCCTTGTGCCAATGCTGTCGTTGCAAAACTGGCCCACGTCGCGGAAATTTGACAGACTCTGGAGCGGGCTGTGTAGTTCTGGCATGGTTTGGCTCGGTAGCTAGCAAGGAGTAGTGGCAACTTTGTATCTTGAAGTTTAGAACCGGGGTGACGTAGCGAAAGGCCACGCTAGCCCCGTCCCATGTCACACATGGCTTTGAGATGGAGTGCGCAATGCTTGTAGTAGTTGGTCCGCACTACATGCATTCGGCGATAAGAGCATGCGGGGCCAAAGGCATGCCAGATGTGCACAAGGATACGATGGACAGGATCCATTGTCCCTGGAAGCAAATCGCTGAGAAGAGCCGTCACTTGGCCTGTTTGGTGAGGCCATGGCCTGTTTCCAGCCCAAGAGACATAATCACCAGGCTCAGAGCGGCAAGGCGTCTGTGGCTTCTCCTGCGGAACGCCCGCCCACGGCGATCCTCCACAACCACTATGACATCATGCCCGTCTCCATCGTCATCCAGCCATGTGAGGACGCCACAGGCTGTGTCTGGTGCCCGCGCTTGCGCAGGTTCCGTGTCGTCGCGAGATATATCTTGCGCCACCATGCTGTCTTGACTGTTTACCATCACGACCCGCACCTTCACAATGGCAGCAAAAACAACTTCCGTCCCGAGTATGGCGGCGCCCGCTTCCGACACCAGACCCTTAAAAGGCACCGAAGATGCGGCTCCACTTCCACCATCTGCCGACATGACCATGCGTTGCCCTGATCCGTCGGCCCATCATACAAACAACAATGCTCTACAGAACCAGGCTTCAGCTGCTGCACTGTATTCACACAACCCAACTAGCCCGGCCAAGGCAAACGAGTCCCGCCCCATGAACCCGCTCGGATCCGACGGCAAGCTGTCTTCCGCAGGCGAGTACCATATACTATAATTACATCATGTCCTGATTGAATTTCTCAGGTGCTGCTGCCAGTCTCAAATACGCAAAGGCCCAAGATCTCCCCAGTTATCCTATTGTTGGGATTGACGCCAAATCCTCTGCAGGAGCAGCTGCTCTGCTAGCTAACCAGAACAAAAAGAGTCCAGAGTGGTGGAAGCCAGAACAATCTTCGGCGGCTGGTAAGGCTGCCTTGCTCGCAAACGGATACAAAATGGCGCCTCTGTGGCAGCCAGAAGCTAGCGCGGCAGGCTCAAAGGCAGCTTTACTCGCTCACAAAGATGGTGGGAAGCTTAACCTGTGGCAACCAGAGGCCAGCGCAGAAGGCCATTCCGCAGCAGTACTCGCCATGAAAAAGAAGGGACTTGGTCCGGAGGTCGACTACGGATACACTGATCAGGGTAGGAAGAATGCCTTCACTGCCGCTACCGATGCCCACTCTGCCTCACGACGACAGCGCGCCCGATCAAACCCACCACCTGCGCCCCTGTACCCTGACTCCGAAAACTCAGCCCGGAATGCGCTGGGTGCGGCGACACTGGCCCACAGCGCTTCCACACGTACCAGACCCCAAGCCAGCACTGCGAGCCCTGTTGAGTCCAACCGCTTGCAAAATGGCGCCATGGAAGCTGCACGAATTCAGCATGCAAAGAGTATATCACGAGACATGTACGGAAGTGCCCCACCTGTTGCAATCGAGACGGATGAAAAGAAGCACAATGCTGCTCTTCGTGCTTCAGCTATCTCTATGGCGAAGAAGATTTATGACGTGCAGCAGCAACAACGTCTAGAAAGCGAACTTGGGCCATCTACTGCCCGCACAGGAGCGTCTGCAGCGCAGAGCCAGCAGCTGGCCACCGGCGACGGCGATATCAAGCAACAGGCTATGCGCTATATCGGTATTCAGGAGGCTGCTCAGAAGTTAGCACAAGAGAGGCTAGCAAAGATCGGATACGATGAGAATGCAGCCTACCGAAGTTACTACGGATATGATCAACCGACTCGCAACAAGCTCTCCCTACGCCGTGGACGCAACCGTGCACACAGTGCCTCAGAGACTGTGCCTCCTGAGACCTCGGATTCCGACGAAGATGATTTCCGTTCGAGGCGCATCCGCTCCCAGATGGAGCAGTTCAACAAGCAACTAGCTGATGTTGATGCCAAGAAACGCGAAAACGACCGCAAACTACTCCTTGCTGCCGCACAACGTAAAGTTCAGGCACAAATGCAGGGTATGGATAAAAAGATCTTTGATGAAACCGGCAGGATGTCATCTACAATGGTGGATGATTGGGATGAGAAGGCGCGACAGCGTGCCGTTGCCAATTCAGAAGCTCGGATGGAGAACCACGGCAGAGTTCACATTGGCAACGGCAAGTGGATGGACCAAGGAGAAATCGACGCCATTGCCCAGGCAAGAATTCAGCCGACTCTCAACGAGATTACTGAGAAGACCGAAAAACGTCTTGCTGAAGACGAGAAGCGCAGAGCTGAAGAAGAGGAACGACGAATGGATGCGGAGCAAGAGAAGCGTCGTATGAGAATCGAGAAGGAGCGAGCCGATGAGATCAAAGCCGAAGAGAAGCAGGGCAGAGGTTAGTATTCTTATTCATATATCTGATCACACCGCTAACGTGCTACAGATGAAGAAAAAAGGGCTGCTAAAGCACGAGCGGCTGAAGAGAAGTTGGCAGCAAAACAAGAAAAAGAAGCAGAAAAAGCAAGAAAAGCAGAAGAGAAGCGTATGGCCAAAGAGGAGCGTCGCAAGTCGAGAGATGCCCCACGAACAGAGGGCGCTCGTGCTTCGCACGACAATGACGACTTATACCAGGAGCCGGGTCTTTCCACAGATGCCCAGCCTACATCCGCACATGAATCTGCTGATCCGACATCCCCCAATTCACAAGAATCTCCAAAAGGGTTAAAATCACTTCTGACCAAACTGAAGCGCCGCTCAAAGCATTCACCTGCCAATGAAGCCGATAAAGATGCGAAAGAGAAGGAGACAGGCTTTATTGGTGGTGCAAGTCTTCACAACTCCACCTCACAGCCTCATTCTTCCGAGAATGCCACCCAGCCAAAACGTGATTCGATAGATGGTTACGTCTCTGACAAAGCAGAGGAACCAGTGGAGCCGGTCCACACGATACCAGCATACGTCCCACATGTCGATCCTGTCGACAAAGATCAATATTCAGATGTCTCATCTATTTCCAGCCATAAGGATGATTTCAGACCGGTTAGAGGCAGACTAACTGGGAGAGTCGCCAGTGGAGGTACCGTAACATCTGGTGGAGAAAGCTTCGAAGAAGCAAGAGATTATCTCGACGAAAACCTAGCCCCACCACCGGCTTTCAGTTCTGATACGGAAGACGCGAAAAAGGGAGTCTCGAGTCGAGAATCTAAATTTCAAGAAATAGGCTTGTAGACTTGTAGTCAAAGGTCGAAGACTTCGAGATACATCCCTTAGGAATGAGCTCCTGTATTTGCCTACTGCAGGGTGCATCTAATTACGTTTTTTTGTAAAAAGAGTGCGAATGCGTTGTACACGAATGTTTCATGTTTTAATGACCAGGAAATGATGGGGAAATACGCCAGGAAATCGTAATCTAATGTATTCTGCTTCTGAGAAGTTGCCCTATGCGTAACATATACGAGCGTTAATATTCGTGAGACACTTGTTTCTCTTTCTCAGCAACTCGCAAACTACAGATTCATATGTATTAGAATAGTCGGGTCAGGAGTAGTGGGTCGGGATCGACTAGGCAGCCAGGATGCAGGTACCTGGAAATAGTTGCTAACGCACCATTGGTAACACCTCAGGCAGATATATATTACTATATGACTATATTGTGAAATGGAATTATGATGTATCTGAACTTGATTAAATTGTGTATGTTTTAAACCTGTGTAACTATGTAACTTGTGACCAAAACTGTACTTTCTTAAGCCACCTTCACTTGGTGAGATTGCGCTATTATATGGCTGTGTACCATCGTTAAGCCTGCAGACATTGCCGTGCATACACAACTACGGCCACGGCAATCAGGGCTTATAGTAATTTCTGGCGAATGCAGGTATTGAGAAGTATGATTCCCCGTTCAAATAATTGCGCATGAATGCCATTCACTTGGTATTGCTGCCTGGGATCCTGGAAAGCACAGTTGAAGAGTGGGTCGCCAGGCAGACGTCACTGGTAACAGCTATCCTTGGACTTACTTGTTTGGGTGCTTACATCATCACGGATAGGGCGATCCAGCGTATGTGGAAACAACACGAGCTCCTTTCTACGAAAAGCATCCCCTACCCCAGCCCTCACCCCGCCTTAAACACCCGTCTCTCATTTCCTATTGCGCGCTTTCGGAGTTGTGCATCTGGGTCTACTTCTTCTCTTTTCTTTCCTATACCCGATTCTTGCGCGCTCTCTCACTGCGGTGAGCTCGGAGCTGGACTGTCGCAAACATGGCCCAGCGCCAAGTTCCATTGCACGTCACACAGCCGACGCTGGTATGTTGTCAATTGAAAGTGTATTTTATGAGACATGCCTAAGCTAACAATTGGCAGCTCACGAACCTGAACATTCTCGTACGTTGTCTTAGCGACAAGTTGGCGGCGGCAGAACCCGCAAGGATCACAAAGCTGACATAGACTACAGCCGGCATCGATATCATGGCAAAACTGTGTATGTGGCTTCTCGACATAGCAAAATTCAAACCAAGATTACTTACAAGATATTCAGACACTTGAATCCGACAAGTATGTCTGCGTGCGCCAGGTCAACAACGAAGCCAACGCGCCCGCCGAAACCGTCATCATCGACCTCAAGAATACGAACAATGTCATTCGGAGACCTATTCGCGCGGATAGCGCTATTATGCACTTGACTGAGCCTATCATAGCTCTCAAGGCACAGGGCCGGACACTGCAGCTGTTCAACCTCGAGACCAAGGAGCGCCTGCAAACGTACAGCCACCAAGAGGATATTCAGTTTTGGAGGTGGATCAGCCAGACAACTCTTGCGCTTGTCAGCACGAAGGCCGTATATCACTGGGATGTCCTCGACTCGAAGAATGCTGTTGCGCCGCGCAAAATCTTCGACCGACAAGAGCAGCTTGAGGTATGCAGACTCGCCTAGGCATCGCTAATCACATC